CCCCAAAACCCCAAAACCCCAAAACCCCAAAACCCCAATAATAAAATTGCAAATTGAAAATGAACACATCTTTAAACGAGTTGGCATCTATTATCTCCATGTTTCTCCTTCGAGTATATACTAGGTTGAAGATGTTTCTCATTTAAAAATCTCACAGGTGCTCGTACTGGGTCCGAAGCTCCTCCAGAATAATGTCGTATATCTCCTCTCCGTAACAGTTCAGGAATATTGAATGGAACTACACATAACTGTCACCAAGCACTTACCACTGAGTTCGGAGTGATCTGGGGCAGAATCGACACTGGATTTACTTCCGAACACGGCTCCAGACTCTTTAGGTCAGGATGGATTTCGGTGTACAGTTCTTCGAGCTTGTCGATGCTCAGAGGCTCCATGCTTGTTCGCTCTAAAGATCAACTTGGCCTTACCGATCTGGGTGTCTGCTGGCTGAATGTTGCTGATGTCGGTGTGTCCCATGCTGTTCGGGTGGATCTCTGCTTGCTCGGCCATGTGTTGATGCATCTGATGCACAGGGTACTGGCCAGGGTCATCGTTAGCGCTTCCATCATCCGAACTGAACACTTCGTACAGCAAGTTTGACTTGTCTCTGAGGTTGCTGGGAGCCTCGTCGAGTTGGAACTTCTTTACTTCAATTTCAAGCGGAAAGTTCTGGCCTGGGTTCCTGTTGTTTCTGTTAACTCTGTTATTATCGAACAGACCGCCGCTGCTTTCATCTGCGTACCCTCCGAGGTTGTACTGATTGGGATACTCGAAGCTGTCACTGTTGTTCATGAAGTCAGGCTCCTTGTGTGGTTTTCTGATCCCAGTATCGATCCTTGACTTCACATTGTTGAATGTCTTAGGCTTCGGCTTTGGCTTGTCAGCAGCTTTCTTTATACTTGCTTTGCCTTTGTTAGGCTTGTTAGTCTTTGGAACTGACTTGTCTCTGTGCTCACTGCGAGCAGATTTCTTGCCACCCCAGCAGTTGGTCCTGCTTTTGACTTTGCCCCAGTTGAGTTTTTGGAACTTGATTTTCCTTGGCTTGCGTTTGAGAAATGGCTTGGGCTTGATGGGCTTTTTGTTTTGTTCATCTTGGAGCTGGCCTTCGTCAAGCGGAACTTCATCCTCTTCAGCTGCATCTTGGTCGTCTCTTGGAGACTCTGAGCCTTCGGTCTGTATTTTGGGCTGAGCAGGACTCCTCTTTGGCTTTGACTTTGATCGCTGCGATTTGACTGGTGTCGGGTCTATGTCTTTGTTGCTGTCTGCTTCGTCTCTGGCTGCGAGGAGCCCTGGTGGAAACGCAGACTTGTGTCTCTTGGTGGATTTTGACTCTACAGGTGAGCAGCAGCTTACTTTTGGGTTTGGACTTTCTGGCTTTATTTGATTGCCTCTCTGGGGTCGTAGACCTTCTTTCTCTTTAAGAACTTATTTGTCGTTATGGTTTTGTTTGGGCTCTTGTTTGGGTTCTTCCACGACATGCTCTCCTTGTTCTTCGAGGGCTTTGGCGAGGATTTGTTCGAAGTCGTATTTGGGGATTTCAATGCTTGCATGAGTGGAGTTGGCAACTTGGTCGAATTGTTCTGGAGAAGGGCTGTTATGTGAAATTTCCTGAGGTCTTGGCTTGATTGGAATATCCTCGACCTTTACCGGAGTGAAGGTTGTTACAGAAGCTTGAGCTTGAGGGGGGAATTCATTTGTCTCTCTTACTTCTTCGTGGTTTCCATGGTTTAAATCTAAATTTGAATTTTCTGATTTACTTGTTGAAACATCTTGAGGACTCTTACGATATCGTTCATTCATACCATGTCTTTCCATACTCGGCTGATCATAACTTATTGGATTAAAGTTCATATTTTGGTTTGGAGGGGACCTCATCCCAAGCTTTGGAGACTGATACTGAGAGTTATCCAAATTCATTCCCCTAATATCATTTTTGCTTGGAGTTTGGAATACTCCTGGAATACCCATATGGCTATTAATAGAATTTAGATGCATAATAGGAGGAGTAATGGTCGAAGTAGATTGGATCAGATCTTTTCTCATATTTTTCGGCATAGATAAATTTACAACTACATTAGGGTTATATCTCTTTTTCTCAGTCACAGTCTCTCTTACTATTGGGTTATATGATCTAACCCATTCTCCAGTATTATAAAGTCTCCTAATACTGCTTATCAAGTAGTCTACAATCTGAAATCTCTCCGTCATATAACTTCTCAGAAAATTTTGAGTGTTTGGATTGAACTGGGACATTTTTATAGATATCGAAACTGCATTGAATCTGCTGATAATATCAACAATTTCCTTAGATTTCATTATCTTTCTGATCTTCCAGCCTCTGACAAAACCAACTATTTTGCTTGCAATGTAAAAGTTAGGCATGCAAAACTGCGTTTTAGAAGGAGTCTTATAATTTCTCTCATATTGTTGATTTCTAGCTTCGTTGATTGATACGAAGTTCTTTGCTCTAACTTTGTTAAAAGTTTTATGCCTCTCTAAAAGTGAGAATTTATTAATACTTTCATGCTGATGATTTTCTTTGATTCTTTTAAGTTTTGCTTGAGAAGCTTTGGTAAGTATGAAAATAATATTCTTGATAAATTTGCTTTGCTTTTGGGTCGTCGCTTGGGATAAAATTCTCCTCAATACTTGAAGCACCATCTTATCATGCTTCATTGCTTTGACTCTCCTTCTACTTAAATGACCTTTGATAATTTTTTGTATAATTCTGACAGCCCAGCTTCTCTTACTCTGCTGTTCTTTTTGTTTGAGTATTTTCTCTAATTCTTGCAATTGTTTGAGCTTTTCTAATTTTTCTTTCTTTTTCTTGCTTTTAGAAGACTTTTTATTTTCTCTGTATGTCTTAGGTCTTCCCTCTTCCTTCTTGTTGAGGATAGGCCTCTCTGCAAGAGGAGATCGATTTCTTGTCTTGATTTTTTCTGTTTCTTCAAACGCTACTAAGTCATCATAAGAATCTTTGATGAGAAATTCTGGATTATTGCTTTTGATTGAAGTTTCTCGTTTGGTATTCTTTGGACTAACAGATTCTTTAGATTCAACTACTTCTTCACTAATCCTGTTCAGAGGAGGCTGAGTCATTATAAGTTCTTGGTTGGCATTAGCATCACTCATAGGTGTAGTATTCGAAGAATTATTTTCTCCTTTCATTCCATAAAAAATTTGAAGGTTGGCATCAAGGACTATTTCAGCCTTTGGACCATTCGGATTGGCATTCTTTTCTTGATATTCTAAAGTAGAACTTTTGGATCCCTCTTCATTGTAAGCTTTAGGTTTTACTTGATCAGTAGCTAAGGATGTGTAAAGCGAACTTGTCTCCATCCTGACAATATCACTATCTCTCTTGTTACCGTAATATTCATTGTTATGAATTTCAAATTCATCCTTAATATTTGCTTGCTGAATGGGAGTTTCTCCAACAATTTTATGAGCATTCAAAAATTCAGTATTTATTGAAGGCCTGTTAAAGGCAGGAAATCCCTTAGCATTAGCTTTGGCTGTATTGCTCTTATTAGTGGCACTACTTTGATTCGAGAAAGCATTGTATTTTCTGACTTTCTTATCTCCTGTGAGGCTTACTACATCATCATTACTCTCATAATTGACAATATCGCTATTAGCCACAGACTCTAAGTCAGTCTTTCTCACTGGAATCTGGTATTTTGAATATCGGCTATGCTTTGAGGTATTCTCAGTTGGCTCTTTCCTTGGAGTATTTTTATTTTCCTCTGTCTTTATTGTATTTTGCTGAACATATTGGCGGGTAGAATCCTGAACTGTGTATACCTGGAATGACTCTTGTGGTTCTTCAGAATTATTATTACCCTCAGCATCTTTATTAGTTAAGTTGATAGTAAAGGGATCAATACTCTTATGTTCAGGTTCTTTATCTTCGAATTGAATAGTATCATGTTTTAGGTTCTCGGAGTCTGGATTTGGGGCACAATCTTCATCCTGATCTTGCTCTTTTTGAGGGGAATTTTCATCAGAAGTATACACAAATCTGGAGTTTTCATCGACAAATTCACTCATATCTTCAATGTCATCCATATCCCCTCCAAAGTTTTCCTTGTTGTTTATGGTTTTGTAATTATTATGATTAGTTTCTTTATTTTGAGTGGGACCAATCATGGTCTTAATTTCTGAATAGCCTTTTGGTAAATCAATGGTTGCTCTTGATTTAGGATTCTCTATTCTATCTTGATTCTCGAAGTGGTCACTATCTTGAATAAAATTTGTGGCATAATTCCCCCACTTCGCATATTTTTGGCCTAAATTTTTACTGTAGTGAGATTGAGAATCATTGCTTTCAAGCATCACTTCCTCTGATTGGGAATCATTACTTGTTACTGAATCTATTAACTTAAGAAAATTGTTTTAAAAAATTGGCTTACTCATCATATTTAGAAGTAATATCTGCTATTATTTTAGGATCTAATGATTTTCCTAAAAACTTACCTTCTATCTGACTCGGAGCTCTAATTTGAGGTGCAAATCGTCGAGGTTTGTTGTCTAAACTCTTCTTCATTGTCGAAAATTCAGATTTTTTCGTATTCATTTTCGAAAATAACAATATTTTCAAATTTTTATATTTAAAATGGGGTTTTGGGGTTTTGGGGTTTTGGGGTTTTGGGGTTTTGGGG